TTCTCTGGTTGTTCAGTGATGAGTGCTTTCCTTCTTCGGTGTTCGTACTTCTTTTCTCCTTCCTGGCCTTGCCTTTTGGAGACTATGGGGTGTGGACAGTTGACTTTGAAGTGCCCTGGTTGTCTGCAGTTGTAGCAGAGAAGCTCTCCACTACTTTCTGATGGTTTGGACTTCTGGTGTGGCTTTCTGCTAGAGTGTGGACTTCTGCTATCCTTTGGCTTCAGAAATTTCCTGAACTTCCTAGCAAAAGCCGCCATATATTCGTCAGTTAAAAGAATAGAAGGGTCAAAATTATTTACCTGAGAGGTGCTGGCAGTGAGGGCAGTAGTTGTTCTGTCCTCAACTTCTTCTTTCTCTTCTTCATTCATCTCAAACTCATAAGACTTGAGATCAGAGATGAGTTTCTCAGTGCTGTAGGTTCTGAGGTCCTTGCTATCTCTCATGGCAGTGACCTTCATCTTCCATGGTGAAGGTAAACCTCTAAGAACCTTCAGATTAATTTCCTTGGGAGTAAGCTCCTTCCCAAGTTCTGATATCTCAGCAGTGAGGGTGAGCAAGCGTGCATACATCTCAGCTATGCATTCTTTGGGTAGAAGTTTGAAATCTTCAAACTTCTTCATGGCAATAGTGAGTTTGTTGTCCTTTTCTTGCTCATCTCCAGCTCCTATCAGGGTGAGAGTATCCCAGATCTCCTTGGCAGATTTGCACTTCTTGATCCTGGTGAAGTACTTGTCATCAATGGCCTTGTAGAGGATATCCTTGGCAATGTTGTCAAGGTTGTACTTTCTCCTTTCTTCATTAGACCATTCATGGCGCAGTTTGGTGATCATCTGGGGTTGACCACTACCAGTGATGTATTCAGGGTTGACCTTGGTGAACTCTGTGAAAGGTCCTGCATCAAGTACTTCCCACATTTCGTCATGGAGTGCGCAGAGGTGAGCTTTCATGCGGATCCTCCAATCATCAAACTTTGTTACTGAGAACATAAGATTCTTTGAAAGAGTGTTATCCATAATGTGAGATTAAAGAGGCTAAAACAAGTGGATCTCTTGTTTAGTAAGTAACCTAAAAGATTACAAGAACAAGGAGGCTCTGATACCACTTGTTGGTCCCGTTTGTAATAGGAACAATCTAGAGGGGGGGGGGGGGGGTGAATAGACTGTTCAGAAATTTAAACTTTTCTCCAAGTCAAGTCTGACTTAACAGAGATGGTCGAAATCTGGTGACAGAGATGGTCAAGTTCTGATGGCAGGACTAGACCAGGCAGCGGATAAGTTTCTGTCCGGGTAGCCTCTAGGAGAAAGCTAAGGCAAAATGCCTTTCTGATAACTCTGAAGGAAGATCTGCTGGACACAGATTCCAACCTAAAGAGTTAGTCAGTAGAACCTTAAGTGCAGAAAGTAAAAGCTGAAAGTAAATGACACCGGGGTTTTTATAGTGGTTCAAGGAACAACTCGTTCCTCTAGTCCACTGTTCCACTAAGCTTGCAAAAACGACAGTTTACAACGCCTTAGTCCCTAGAACTTAAGAAGCACTCCTCGTCTTCTTCAAGTCTAGTTGCCACCCGGGATGCAGTCCTGCTTCCTGATGGCTGGTCTCGTTTCACTGAGTCTCTTGAAGTATCTCCACTTCACTTACTCCAGCTAATTTGAGACGTCCCTTCTTTTTCAAGAAGTGTTTGATATAGAGTCAGTTTTCTCCAACGTTGCTTCTTCACAAAAGATGAGTATATGAAGTTCTCGAAGTGTTGAAGAACTGAGTAACTTTGCCTTTTCTAGTTGGATGAAGGATAGGAATATTTATCTTCCAACTGTGGCCTTTTCTTGTTAGAAATGGAGTTTTTATCTCAAGAAAGTTGTTCACGCAAATCTATCTTGGTAAAGGTTATGGCAAAAGTTATTTTTCTTAGTTCTCCAGAGTGTATCTTATATACTGGGAGCGGTCTTCCCGTTGGAGTGTAGAAGACAGCTTCATTAAATGCATGTACTGTTGACTTGACCGTTTGGTCCTCCGACTTGCTATTTTGGGGGCGTAAAGATATTCGCATGGTCAATCATCAGCTTTAAATATCTCTTCGTACGTACATCATTAAATGTGCATTTAATGCGTGTACAGTGCCATGCTTCCGTTGTAAGGTTCGTAACCGTTAGAGGATTTCCCGTTAGTTTAACGACCGTTAGAAGGGCTTTCGGATTCTGATGATACTTACCAGAGTCTCAAGAGGTTCTCTGGTCCAGTCTCTAAAGTCCGTCTCTGGTGCTAACTCTGGTATCTTTCTGATAACTAGTTTCTGATAGCTTCTCTGGTGAGCAACTCTGGGAGCAACTCTGGTAGAAGCAAGATGGAACTCTGGCAGGCAGACTAAGCTAAAACTTACAAAAGAAATTCTAATACACAATTTCTAATGGGGTACTTTCAAATTCTAATTAATCCTAGCATCATCAAAATCTAAATACATTTATTCCTTACAGAATTCAGATTTCAATTTAATGTATTTTTGTTTGAATGTTATTTGGAAAGTGGTGATGTAACCTCACTTTTGGAAAGGAAATGTGCTGCCAATATATGTGGCATAATGTAGTATACGTTGTTTGAAAATGCCAAAAAAGTGGAAGTTTTGTGAGATAAGTATATTTGGTTCATTATAGTCTGATGAGTGCACTGGTAAAAGTTGTAATGCAAGAAAACATTGTTTCGCAAAGTTCAACATAATATGTAAAAAAATATAAAATCAGGGACAAACATTTGGAATTTAAAAGAACACAACAGTAACAACAACATCATTGGTAAGTGTTTTACATGTAAAAGGAAGGACTTGAACTAAAATGACATAATAAAAGGTTCCACATACAAATGTAACAAGTATTGAGTACATTGGAATCATAATTAACTAGCTGGGGGTATGGTGTTGCGATAAGTCTTCTTATTGTGACCGACGATGTGGCAACGAGAACATCTTTGCCTATTCGTCCCACGATGTTCACCAATAGAAGGTATCCTTGACTTTCTAGGATGACCAGGTGGCCTTTTCTCACAAAGGGGTGGCTTGCAGCGAATGCTCAAAACATTTGAAGGATTCAACAAAGATGATGGGTCTGTAATTGGGTGCATAACAGCACTCCAAGTAGAATGCCAGTAGTGACGTGTGTAATACGGAGAAATGTAGTCATAACACGACAAGTGAGGTCGAACACCAATAACAGCAACTGCATGAAGGCAAACAAAATGAGATAGTTAAAACTCTCCACATGTACATGACTTGGCATTGAGATCAACAAAAAAAGAACGAGAATGTCTATCAACCAGTTCAAATTCCAAATATGAGCACGGCTTTACCTGGAATAAGCAAGAAGTGCGCATTAATATTGCATGTGAAAATGGAGAAGGACAAGACAAAAAAGTATAAATACACTATATGAATTATCAAAAGTTGGCAGAACGTAGGATCAATTGTGTTAAATTGCCAAAAATTTGGCATTCATAAAAATAGACAGAAATATTGCAGAAGCAAAAAAAAACTAACCCAGAGTCTCCTAGCTTGACTTTGAAGTGAAACCAGTAGCTTTTCACGATTTTTTGTCAAAATAGAGGATGTCTTCTCAGCCTTTTCCTTTCTCTCCGTTAACCATTGTTACATTCTTACTCTCAAAAATTCAACGAGTTTAGCGACAGAATACTCCCTTGCTGAAACATCAACATTGTTCATTGACTCCGCACAATTTGATGTCATTATATCATGCCTACGAGGACCGCACATGCATTTTGCCCATTTATGACTGCCAATTTTATCTAGCCACGGGCGTATACGGATATTTTCAGAATCCAACAATGTCATGTACTCTTCATACTCTTTTACAGTTGAAGCCATATAAGCAGCTTTGAACTTCCAACCTAAATCAACTGCGGAGCCCCTAAATTTAGAAATCATGTTATGACGCAAATGCTCAACACAATATCCATGGCCAGCGTGTGGAAAAATCTTTTTAGCTTCATTAATCAATCCGTTATGTCTGTCTGATACAATGTACATGTCCTCGCGGAACATCAATGCTTCACGAACTTTAGAAAAAAACCATAACCAAGACTCTTTAGATTCTAAATCACAAACACCAAATGCTAGTGGGACAATTTGGCCGTTTGCATCTTGCACACAAGCTATGAGAAGGGTACCCTTGTAGTACGCCTTCAAAAATGAGCCATCTGCAATTAGAACTGGTCTGCAATATTTTCACGCCTCCCTCCAAGGTAAGAGGGACATGAAAAATAACGAAAGGTATCATCTTTTGAAGTTATAAGAGCAATGAGAGAATATGGATTTTCGTTTTCAAGAGCATACGCCAAAGACGGTAGCATTTGGTATGAGTCAGAATTTGATCCAAATTGTTTCTGCATAGCTATCTTCTGAGCTTTCCATGCCCGCGTGTAAGAAATGGAAATGCCATGATTCAGAAGCATGTCTTCCCTTATTTCATTTGGTTTATAAGGCTTTCTCGACGCATCCAAAAATTTATGCGATATAAGCTCTCCAACAGTGCGGTAGGTTGCTTGGCGATGTTTGCCTTGACGAAAATCAATAGAGCATGTATGTGATGATGTAAATCTGAAGAAAATAAAGTAATAAAATGTTAATATGAATACACTGTGTCAAAAATGCCAAAATAATGGAATAAAAAACCAAGACAGAATGGTTAACTAAATATACTGTAATGGAGAAATACCTTCGTATCTGAAACATTTGGACACCACGTAGTCTTACAACCCTCACAGCCCATTTACATTTTTTATCGAAGCAGATAACGTGTAAACATTTCTTCTTTGATGTAAGTGTCTTGAATTGGAACACATTGTCTATTGCGTAAAGCTTCAAATGGTTAAGAAGATCCGCTTTAGACTTGTAAATAGCATGCAATACAATCTGAGTGGGGTGATAGTGAGTGATGATTTACAGATTATGATGAACAGAAAATGTGTCATTAGAAAGTGAAGAAGAAGGTGATGGACTAGAGCTAACTTTTGGGGTAGGACTACAAGAGAGCACATCTGTATTGGTCATATGACTTTGGGAAGTGTCTATAACATTGACTTCATTGTTAACATGGATGTAATGTTCTTCAATACTGTTGTTGAAGGAAGAATGAATTTGACCAGGAGATTGATTTGATGAAAATGGAATTTCAACTACAACAGTTTGTGCAACAGAAAATGTGGGATCATGTACAACAGGTTGTGCATCAGGTTGATCAACTGAGAATTCCACACACAAGAAAGATTTTTGAAAATCACTTTGAAGAGACTTAAGATAAAGGTAAAAATGAAACGTTTCCTCATCATGAATAGAAATATGTGGAGGACAACCATCAACCATGTTATATAGTTTGAAGTGGTTATTTAGTTTGTAAGGAGAAAATATGGAAGATAATTGTTCCATAAAAGCTGTGTATTTAGCCGAGAAAAGAACTTGCATAGCAAAGGTGGCACTGCAATTGAAGTTGTAGTCATTGTCCCAAATACCATCTACTTTCACCATAATAAGAAGAACAGAATCCATATCGACAACTAAGGAGAAAAAGATTATCAAACAGAATTACAAAAATGTCATATATTGTAAAGCAAAATGCCAAGTTTATGGCAAAAACATAAAAAATGCAAGCACAAGTTTGAAAACCAAATTAAATAGCAAACGATTGAAACAAAAGTGAAAACACAAAAAAAATGCGGAGAGCAGATTCAAAACATGTCATATATTTTAAATTGAATTTGTCAATAGTTTGGCAATAATATTACAGTATGTTGAAGAAGTGATTGGTTGCTCAGACAATACATTAGGATTTAATTAAGATAGGAAGCAGAATCATGTTGAAAAAATTAAATAGCATGATCGGTGATATTGTTCATCATAGCAAACAATTGTTGTGCGAAATACATATCATAAACATTAAATCATGAAATTTAATACAAAGAAAATAAAAGGCAATGACTCTGATCGTGAACTTGCATATAAAACGAATATAATTGCCAAATTGAATTTCACATACCAGCCAGTATACTCGCAAATTTGAGTTGCAGAGCTGACCGAACGGATTGGCGTTGAGTTTGTTGAGCTGCAGAGATGATCGAATAGTTGCCAAATTGAATTTCACATACCGGCAAGTATAATCGCCAAGTTGAGTTGCAGAACTGATCGAACGGATTAGAGTTGAGTTTGTTGAGATGCAGAGATAAACGAACAGATTGCGTTGAGTTTGTTGAAGTTGCAGAGGTTATGGAACGGAAGGAAAGAGATGAAGATCAGCGAAGAAGAAGGAAGGCGGTGGCGGTAACAGAAAACTAACCGGACAAAAATAAAAAATAAAAAATGAAATATTAAAGTGTTAGGCAAATAACATACCAAGGGTAAAAAAGGAAGGGAAATATAAGCATGTTTCGAGATAGGACTCATATACAGTACATAGTCTTATTTTAAAATAAAAATATAAGAAGTCCTATTTTAGATTTTTACACTAGTTTTAGTCCTATTTGAGATAAAAACTACTCCATATTAGTTAAAGGGATTTTTTGCCCTCTTTTAAAGTTTGTTAAAGATTTTTGCTCAAAAGATTAGTTTATGGGCATAGATTTCCCTTGGTGGCAAGTTCATCAAGGGTGTTTTTGCCCCTTTTTCCATACGAATAAATGGTTTAGAAATTTAACTCATGTGATAGTGATAAAACCAGATATTTAAGAATCAAAGAATCGTAAGCAAGTAACAACGAAGAAGCAGATGGAAGGATGTCGATATTATACACGAATCTAGTATACCGTATGAAACCCCGCTGCTCTCCCTAGAGAAGGAGAGCAGCGGAAACCCTTCTCTCTATCTCGCCTCTACGCACTCTAAACCTCTTTTCAAATCTTTTGGGTTCCCGTAAGTTAGCCTCCTTTTATATGAGAAGTTGGCTAACTTACGGGTTACAAGGAAGCTAACGGGCTGATACACATTTGTTGTCCCTATTACACGTTTAATTAATAACTACACAAATACAAAGATAAATAACTAGATTGAACACCATAAAATATTCCCAACAATCTCCCCCTTGGTGATCAATCGTGTTAAATCACCATTGCAGCGCAGATATCTTTGTCTTTGTTGTTATTCAGCTTCCTTTCATTTGAACATGACTTCTTGAGAAGGCTTCATGAAGAAATCCTCACAATCTTCCCTTTGATGTTTTCTTAGCAATTTGATCTTTGATGTCGGGGGTTGAGGAATCTTTTTCTTGAAAACCTTGCCTTCCAGAAGTTGCTCTTGATAAGCTTGGATGAAGTCCGGTGGCGCCTCTAGAATGATAGTTTAGATGAGTTTCAGATGCCCATGGAATTCATCTTCAGAGTTTGATTATCTGACATTTGTCTCCTCCACAATGTAGTCTTTTTGACTATTTGGAATGGATGCATTTGGCAGAGAACTTGTCGGTGGCACGGCGGAACATAATGATTGTTGACATGTGACCGTAGCTGATCATTTGAGTTGAGTTGTAGAGATAGCAGAGAAGGTGTTGATTTTTGTGATGGAGGAGTGAAGTGTCCCAGAATGATTTGTTCAGTGTTAACAACATGTGGACCACTCTCCCCCTCATGACGATCCGATGAATCGGGATGTCATGCTTTTATTCTTTTATTCTGCGGAAATAAAACAGGAAACAAGCAGAAAGAGTAAATGATAAAAGCCCCACGGGGTCGTGTAGACACCCGTTTTCATCACTATAAAGATAAAAATTGCGTTTTCATTATGGTCTTACAGAAACTCTAAAGCAATGGCCTGAAAATGTTGGTGATTCTTATGTTGCAACAGCAGGACTTCCTTCCAATCATTAGTCTACATCTGCAATAGATGAGACCTATGGAAATTCTCGCGGGTCTTTGAATACCTGCAACTGACTCAAAAAGTGCGTCGGTGTCCTAGAAAATTCAAAACATTTTGGAGTGAGGTAACTAGACACGACGTGATCAATGAAAGTTCAGTGCATGGGGTTGAGGCCTCTTTAGTCAGTATTACTTGCCTCGTAAGGAGGTAGTAATGAGAGATGCGGTTCCCCGTGAAATATGATTAAACACCTATCTGTTGGGAGACAAGTGAGTGGTCTTGGATAGGGTTCAACATGCATTGTTGGACAAGATGCAGTGACTTCTACCCGGGATCTGATTAAATCAGCCCTGAACCTATAGGGATTGTCCAGAGTATTTGAGTGGCTAGGAGTAAATGTTCAATGCATAGCAGGCAATTGAGGTAGCAAACTTATCATTGATTATTGTTCTCTTGCTCACTTGAGCCCTCTGCTTCCTAACGCTCATAATGTTAACTCACTCACTCGCTCACTCAATCACTTACGCTCGTCTTTGACCCTTGGGTCGGCTTAGTTGGGTTTACTAAGCCATAGGGCTATGTTCTCTCATTATTATCTTCATTTTCTCTCTGTACTCCCCCTCAACTGGAGCACTCGGTATGCTTTGTCATTGTTAGGTACCGGGGAGGATAACATTGAACATTCCTCCTAAAATGTTGCATCCGTTGAGAGATTCCTTGCTTTGTCGGTGTAAGGCGCCAAGAGGAGAAAACTCAAACTCCCCCTCAGAATGTGCAAGGTTTGGTTGTTCACAGCTTGTCATACCCCCCATGTGTGTGGAGCAATCTGAACAGGTACCACACATGACGGTTCCCTAAGCTCGTCATGTAGAATTTCAGCATATTGAGGATCACATAATGTTGATGAGTCAGGGGTGGCTTCAGTGGTTGATTGTTGATTGTTGATTGTTGTAGAATGACCGTTGATGCGAGGTTGATTGAATTATATATGATTTTCGGACCTTTACATTGAAGCTTAGACCCTATTCGACCTTTGGTTCGACTTTGGAAGAATTTGATCAGATTTGCCTAAAATGACCTCTTGACATCGGTGATTTACAAAGTTTGTCGGAAAACTAACGTTTTGACCCTCAAAGACTGCGAGTGAGGGCGCGTGAAAATGGGTTCTCGGGTAAACCCCTAGAATAAATGTAGATCTTTTCGTTAGCTTTCCAACAAAAAAAGTTTGCTAAAATCGGATCACCGAGTCAAAAGTTATGGCCAAAACAGTGAAGACATGCAAAAACTTTGAATTTTGAGATTTTGAGGAAATTTTTCGAAGTTGAGGTTCTCGATCTGGAATATCGAGATCTGGTGCATTTTAAAGAAAATTCTTAGGTAAATCCTCGAAATCCTAATCTCGAGGTTTAAAACTCGAGATTACAATCTCGAGGTTTAAATCCCGAGATCACAATCTCGAGGTTTAAATCCCGAGATCACAATCTCGAGGTTTAAACTTCGAGATCACAATCTCGAGGTTTAAACTTCGAGATCACAATCTCGAGGTTTAAACTTCGAGATCACAATCTCGAGGTTTAAACTTCGAGATCACAATCTCGAGGTTTAAACTTCGACATCACAATCTCGAGGTTTAAATCTCGAGATTACAATCTCGAGTTTATCCCTTAGAAAAACGTCGAAATCCGCCTGCAAAAACAACACCTCAAGACTTCGAAATCTTTAGAATTTCAAAATGTTTAGAACATCGAAAACTTTGGAGTTTCGAAAGCGTCAGAATACCGAAAACTTGCTGTTTGAAAAACATCAGAACATCGAAAACTTTGAAAAACTTTTAAAAGCAGAGATTCATCCAAAAATCCTATAATTTAAGCTTCGAAATGTTCTGAACAGAAAGATATCAAGCTTCGAACGATTTTGAGTTTCACGAAACTCCAAACTTTGAAAGATTCAAAACATCAAGAAATTCGTAAAATGTCGAAATCTTCAAAAACTTCGAAATCTTACCTGTCATATAAAAACCAGAATCTCGAGATCTTCCAAGGTATCGAGATCTAACAAAATCTCGAAATCTTTCAAGTTGAAAATTTGAGTTTTGAAATTTTGAAAACAGTTTTGAAAAGCCCTTGATCTCGCGATTCCTCCTGTACCAAATTCAAGTCAAAATCGTTTCTGCAGCGGTGAAAAAATAGGATCTCGAGATCTCAGTATAGAGATCTTCAAAATCGAAAAATTGCAAAAATCGAAAACAAAGAAGTGATGTAGAATCGGTAAGAGGAGGCGATTCCAACAGTATAATTTTTACAAAGTTTCGACCAAAAACAATATCACAAAGGCAAATATCGAGATAATGAAATACTAGAGAAAAACAGAGTCTGTCGAAAAAGCAGATACGAAAAACGCAGATAGATTCAACCTTTTTCACGCCTCGACTCTGATACCAATTGATAAACCCAGATATTTAACAATCAAACAACCATAACAAGAAGAATAAGCAGATAGAAAGATATCGAGAAGATTAAAACCGAATCTGGTATACCGTATAAAACTCCGCTGCTCTCCCTCGAGAAGGAGAGCAGTGGAAACCCTTCTCTCTATCTCGCTTCTACGCACTCTAAAGCCTTTTTTTCGATCCTTAGAGTTCCCGTAAGTTAGCTTCCTTTTATAGGAGAAGTTGGCTAACTTACGGGTTACAAGGAAGCTAATGGGCTGATACACATTTGTGGCCCATATTACATATCTAAATGCTAACTACACAAATACACACAAATACAAAGATATTTAATCTAGATTGGACACCATAAAATATTCGTAACAGATAGCCCTCTTAAACAATTCCCAGGCTCTAAAATATATATAACTAATCACTAATTCCACTAAGCAAGTTACATGTTTGCAACTTAGGCTACGATATAAAGCCTTATATTACCTTCATCCCTGATTATTGAACACGAACTACAGAATATCAAACGACCTGGCTGTACATTCGAAGATGAATGGTATGGAGCAATATATGCATATGTAACCGTAATGTTGAATTATTCTGTAGGTTTGAGTGCATGAATTTTTGATCTAATACACTTTCCTTTGATTTTGTAAGATATCTTCTGTGTTCCTTTATGCAAATTTATTGTTCAAAACTCATGGTCTTCTAAAATTACCAAAGGCTAAAGAGTCAAATAGGTACATGAACTAATTTAAAGTGTTCAATTAGCCTCTTATTTAGGAGGTTCTGTTCGACCGTCGCCAATTGGGGCGGTTCCTGATGGAATTTTTTGATGAAATTTTTTGAACATCTTT